CACCAGTGGTCCTGAATTACCAGGTTATGGTTATGAGTGCAACAGATGCTCGAAAAATGATGTCACGTTAAAATTGATATTGTCTGCATTATTATCCCAGCACAAATGAACGCATAATGTTGCTAAGCTATGTCTAAAAAAAAAAAGCGAGCTGTAAACGCCTCATCTGTCCATTGTGCTGTCGAACAGAGAAGAGACAATAGTGTGTCCAGATGTGTCTTTGCAGCAAGTCTCCCTCCTGTTATGGTCCCTGAAGTAAATATTGTATCCGATACCGTTGCTAGCACTGGTATCAGTGCATTCATACATGATCATAAATAGTCAAAGTGTTAAAGAGTTGAACTGTTATGATACTCAATGTTAGTAACATCACTATATTTAGTTGCGCAACTCCACTGTAATATAATGAAATATGTCTGTCGTTTGGGTTTACGCAACCGATTTTAAGTATGTGTGGTGCAGAGATCTGTTGCTCAACATTGTTTTCCTGCCGTGGCATTAAAGAGTCTGGGATTCGGCGCAGTCTGAAGCCTGTGGATATTGACTTTATGAACAAAATTCCAAAGTAATCCAGCCAATAGTCACAGAGATTCTGGTCTTAAGGCAGGAGCAGAGAGAAAGAACAGCCCCAGCCTCACCCCAGCCTTACCCCATCCCCACTGCTACACATTCACTATTGGACATTAATGACTCAGCACTCTCCTACTCACGGCTTTTATCCTATATTTTACTCATATGTTGCTTTACAAATCAATAAACCGTTACTACAGTACCAGCATGTACTACTCAATACACAACTGCTTCACAACAGTGGAAACTCATTGTATGACTGTACTGGAACCAGACACAGGTGTTGTGTTTCACTTTGTCTCCACCTTCTCCGTAGCACTGCCTCTCACAATGCCCCAGGTTCAAAAACACTTTTGTTGGCTTTTCTGTTTGTTTTCTTTGACCTGAATTAGGCGGTCACATGACACAAGTCTCACCTTCCCCCTGGGTGTCACCATGTTATCCTCTAATATATCCACTCAACCGTTTGGTTTCACACATAAAACCGCAGAGGCTAAACAAACAAACAAACAAATGGACAGACCTGTCAAACACAACAATCAAAACCACGTTTTAATTTTTTGATTTCCCAACCTGAATATTGTAATATTGTAAAACAAAGTTGTAACATAAATGATTTGACTAGACGTTAAACTTAGTCTTGATTCACCTTTCACGTTGTCACCTCTGCACATTTATGACTAATATCAACGTCTGACAGCAAGGGAAACTGTAGCTACCAGTTAAAGGCTGTAAATGAAAATCATCAACTAAGTTGAAAAAAATAATCATCTTATTTCATTTTATTAAATAAAGTGCAATAAAAAGCTTAGTATCTGCCGGTTAGCACAGCTGAGCAGCAGCTGAGGGTATTAAACCCTGTTGATGCTCAGCTTCAACAGGCTTCAATGCACAGAACCTGCTAGCTGCTTTCAAAATCAGGGTTAGACTAAGATTACATGGAGGCTGGTTTTCCGCATGGTGATTGGATGAACTGTTAAATAAACACAAATTGAGATTTATTGAGATTGCATAAGAAAAATGTTTATTTTGCATTTGTCTTATTTGAAGAGATTTGTACCGTTATCCAGTTATCCTATTTGTTTTCAGGCTGTTGACGAATCATCAAAATGATCACAAGACTGTCTCTGTATTTCTGCTGCCTCCTCTGAATGTCTAACAATATAAACAACATGGACGGATGGAAATGTGTGTGTTGACAATGTGAGAAGTCAGTGAGTAAACACATGTTTGTTCCTCCTAAAAGCTCTCTTCTCCTCTTCCTCTTAGCTGTGGATAACAAGGCATTAGATATTAGTTCTGTATCAGTTCAGATCATCTTGTCAGTTGAATAGAGACTTTTCTCTTCAATAAGTTTTAAAGGAAGTTTTTTTGAGAGAGCAGGAGAAGTCCGGATCAGCAGCTAGGTCAGGGTCACTCAGCATTTTTAATGTTAAAAAAACAGGATTGAAAACTAATTCTTAAAACTAATCTCTGCGGCCTCTCCGTTGCGTTCCTGTGTTTTTACAGATGAGGCCCTTGCCTAAAAAAATTCAAAGCGCCTCTTCATGTTCCGGTGAGACTGTGCTTTCACAGCACTGCTCCATTTCACAGAATCACAGCAATACCTATGATTATTCACACAGTGAGCGGGAACAAAGCACAGAGAGATAACAACCATAGCACAGTGAGGGGAGATTTTCTTACCCACCAGGGTTCTGGTCCTGTGGGCATTCTCTGCTGCTCCGTGTGCTTTCCCACAGAGTTCTACCAGTGAGAGTCTGTTTTAAAGAGTCTTGGATTCCTGTTTAAGTGAAAGCTTACCCAAGGTCTTTTTTGGACCTGGCACAAAAACGTTTCAGTAAACCTGAGTCTACAGAACAGTACCGGCCTGTTTCTAACGGTATTGTAGTTGGACTCACAGGGTGATTAGCATTAGCATTATTTAAAAAACACGAGGAGCAATCCTTACATCTTTAATGTGTGTAACTTTATAGTTTTTTATTGGTGTGTTATCAATAACATAAATATATTCTGCATTGTATTTGTATAATTTGCTGTATTTAAATATATCTTTTATTTGCTCTACCTTTGCATATGACAATGAACCAGGCATGAGGAATCTACGGCCCGGGGGCCGCATGTGGTCCGTTTAGCTTTTTTAATCTGGCCCACCAATTCTGTCCAAATTATGTTATTAATTTATTTTTTTAATTATATTTCTGTCTTTCCCCTGCAATGCCTTCATTTCCCCAATAGATGGAATAGAAAAGGTTAAAAGCATTTTAGCATTTTAGCCTTTATGACTTTTACATGTCATTTGTTTTAGTTCTAAACGCTCCATCTATCTGCTCCTGACCCCAGTTAAATCTTAAAACCCAATGTGGCCCGCGAGTCAAAACGTTTCATCACATTCATCACATATGCAGGCAGTCCGTGTTTGCTACCAGATTTTTAATTACTGGTTTAAAAAATGTAAACAAATAATTACTTTGATCATTATAAATGACATTGTGGTGAGCACCTGCGTCACTGAGTTCATTTCACTTTCTTCTGACAGTAGCAACTCGTCAGGGCAGCAACTGATGACACATTGCATCATTTTCTTTTGCTTGCATCATCTACCTGGTATAAATAACACAGTTCACTTTTGTAAGGTACAATTGTAAAATATCCTGTTTGATTCAATACCACAAACGTTTCAAATATCACACAACAGACAGGGAATGTTATTTTTCTTCAAGTATTTGCCTGTTAAATGTCAGGTAACATTAGATGGATTAGAGAAAGAGTGAGCTTAACAGATTAGGCAAATATAGGTGCAAAAAAAATTGTTCCAAATATATCCAAACATTCAGTGTAGAAAATACCCCAAAGTTAATCAAAACTTGAATTAAGACAAAATGAGCTTAGTAAAGATAAAGCCAAAGTGAGTAATATATTACAGAACACAATTTTTACCCAAAACTAGTTTAAAATTCCCCATACAAGTAGCAAAATCAGCTAACTAATCCAAAATTGTCTAAATACAGTGACAGTCAATATAAATGTATAAATATGAGAAACAAACAGTTTGATTGTATCCATCTGTAATATTCATTCTTCAGTCACTGGTTTCTTCTTATGAAAATGCGCATCCCCAAACACAGATGGGGGTCGAAAGGTCATTTAAGTTTGCCATACTACATTTAGTCAAATCATTTCCTTTTAATGACAAAGTAGGCGGAACAGTCAGAAAATGAAATGTCATATTGCATCACTGTACTGTACAGGACACACACCACACCTTGTTAAGGCTGTACTTTCAAATTTCATTCTGGACTGCTTAACAGTTAAATAGGTAACATTTCTAGATCTGATCTGGTTTTATCTGACACTGATCCTCAAAGTTGTTTTTTTACAGAGGGTTGAAACCATATTATTGGGCTGAATAAAACCTGTTATGTTACCTACAACACAGATCATTCAAATGTTTAAAATAGTTGCCGATTAAATGATTAAATATTCCATTCCCGTAACTATAAAAAAGATACACCTGTGGAAACAATTTGAGTTCAGTAGTTTGTTTACATTTTTCAGTGTCATTCTTTGACATGTTGTTAGAGCTGCTAACCTGCTAACCTTCTGAGCGTGGGATATCATTGTATAATGTAAAGAAACGACGAGCGTCAAACCTGAACACTTTGATTCCTTTGATTGTGAAGATGAAAAGTAAAGAACACAAAACAAATTACATTTACATTTTATTAAAGGTTGAAAGCTAAAGCAGACAGGTAAGAAACAGTGAGGATGGCTGCTGTTAGAAAACCAAACACCATGAATGTTACAGATAATGTCCATTCAGAAGCTGGCATTCTCCAACTCTGAGCTGGATTCTGTCATAGAGAATATACACAGCCTTTTAAAAGCATCCACTGAATGTTTGGTATGTTCTCCACTGTTGATCTCTTCTTGATTGTCTTGACTTGGCTTGCACTACTGTTAGTAATGGTACACTGTGTTCTTTTAGATGTTTTATCAGTATGCCAATATGTCTTTCATTAGTATACAAATTAGAAATAAATAGAAAAATGATAATTTAAAAGGAAAACTGTCTTATTTGTTCACGTGAATTAATCAATGTCTCAACTGGAGAATTCGTTTTCTTGTTATTTATATTGTAAACTGAATTTCAAAATGTTTTACGGCAGCCATCTTGTATGTATTATTGATCCTATTGGTAGGGTTCGCTGACATAAATCAGGTTGAGACTCAAGCCTGCGCACGCAGACCTGCAGCTTTATAGAAGTCACCATTGTCAACATTGCTTTTATATTTTAATGATACTATTACTTTTGCCCATCAGATTTATAAATAACCAAGACTTATGCAACTTCCAATTTCTATTACGTCGATGAGTGGAACAATTGATTTGTTTAATTTCCCTCCGCATTTTTTCCCCAGTGGGGCGGAGTTAGAGGAAGTAGCCGCCTCTGGTAGGTTGATAACGAGCGCGGAGTGGAGAACTACAGTATCTCACGTTACAGAACAGGGCGCAGGGGACGCTGCCATTGTGAAGTGAACACAAGTTCTCTCACAGGACAATTTTTTATTTTTTAAAGTTCTTCTCGCTGGACAACTTTTCTAACAACTCTGTGCGCGCACCATGGCTGACAAGATAGACATGGAAGAAGAGAAGGCGTCCAACGGCGAGGCACTCTCCAATGGACTCGGCAACCCGAAGAAGCGCAGCCCGGAGTCCATGTCCGAACGGGTGAAGCGAATCGTGAGGAGCAACCTCCTGGTGATCCTAACCGTGGCCGGGGTCATCATCGGTGTTTTCATCGGGCTCGGTGTACGAAATGCGGAGCTCAACAGGACGCAGATAATCTACATCGGCTTCCCAGGTGAGCTCCTCATTCGGCTGTTGAAGATGATCATCATACCCCTGGTGGTGTGCAGCCTGGTGTCCGGAGCGGCCAGCATCGACCCGAAAGCCCTGGGCAAACTCGGCGGCTGGGCCATGCTCTTTTTCCTGGTTACCACCTTGATCGCTTCCTCCATTGGGGTGGTCATGGCTTTCATCGTGTCCCCTGGCTCTGTGCCACTGGGGAAACCTAATGTCGAGGGTTTGGAGGAAGACGTGCCGCAGGCTAAAGAGGTGACGGACTCCTTCTTGGATTTGATCAGGTGAGTCCAAACTACTTCCGCCAACTTACCTGTTCAATTTAAAGTCGGCAAATTCAGTTTACAGTCACTCCAGACACACTATGTATTAAAGGACAAACGTCTCTGTTTGTTTCATGAATTTAAATACGGGTCATTCGTTGAAGTTACACGTGTTATTGAATTTACATTCCCGTGTGTGCTGTAATGGCAACCAGTAGTTGCATCAGATGCCGGCCCTTGCCGGGGATGTCAAACTGTCCACACCACGTAAAATATTAGTTGCGCGCACCGGAAAACCACAAGCACGTGGTTCTGTTGCATCAGCACATGAGTAAGATTCCTACACGTATTAAGTCGTTGGGGGCATCCCCTCCTATTATACGGTAACCCCGGTGTTCCACATAACTACAAAGACAAGTATTTTATAGTTTGTTTAAATTTTTATTTTTAAAAACGTGACGTGTGACTCATGTCACAGACTGACTCAGAACTAAGGACTTGCTGTTGCTGGTAACTATATATGGTGACGTCTTTCCTCCAGCCCTCCACCAATAGACTATACAAACTCTTATTACTCAAAGGTCCAGACCAGTTTCAAGAGGAAATGACGAGGACAAGATGGGGGGAAAAACCCTATGACAAAGATAACTTCTGGTCATCTGGCCAAAAATAAAAATGTCCAAATTTAAAATAAAACTAAAATAAAAAACAAGCATTTGTAAATATAAAGATGTCTACCTACTTCATTCTTAGGTTTTCCTCCTTCATATTTGATACTGTTAAATTACTTCACTTATAGTTAATATATTATCATTTTTTGTATCTGCCTTTGTACTTTGCCAAAAAAAACCCTGAAATAACTGATGTAGGACTCCACGAAACAAAAAAAAAGACAGCTGAGACGTACTGGAGAAAACTCACCAGTACGGTGTCAGTGTGATGGCTGGGGAAACATCGTGGTGGAAAGTTTCTCTCTGGTGGTGGGACAGTATAGTACACAGTATCTCTGTGTGGCTCTCTGTGTTCCACACATGTTTATATATTTTAAGGCAGCATGTCAGGGAGGGGTGTATCCATGAGACGTCCAAAAAAGGAAGCGCAAAGGCATAATGGGGAGCAATGAAGGTGAGTCACAATCCAAAAGTGTTGCTTGTTAAAATACTTAGACAGTTGGACATGTACTTTTATCTCAATTAAAAGTAAGAATCCTGTTCAACTAGAAAGTTGAGCTGCAGCTATGTGTTGACCTGCCCTGTTTGCAGGAAAGATGATGCAGTGTTGTTTACAGTCTGTGGTACGTGAGTGAAAAGGAAGAGATAAACTAGAAGTACTCTGCAAAGAAGCCTTCTTAGACTACCTCGCATGTGACGTACCAAGTTCGGTGCTAAACAACGATATTTTTTTTTCAGGAGTTCCTTCCAAATGCCAAGAGAAGGGAAATCAATCTGACCTTAAGCAACTTCTGTACCGAACAGCATTCTGTTTACATGTAGCCCTAACACATTTGTTTCCTGCCTGGTCTGAATGTTGCTTTCAGAGCAAAGGCCTGTTTTTCATTACACATGGAACTCTTGTTTTTATAAAAGCCAGAATTGTTCTGTCCCTCTCCTGTCTGTTTTCCCCCAGAGCAGTTCATCTTGGTCTGTTAAAAATAGAAATCTCTCTGATTTTATCCACTCAGAACCTTTCCAGAGAAATCAGTCCAGGTTTTAGGGAACTGCTAGTTGTAACATCTTGAGGTTGTTGTCCAAATATGTGTAGCTTCACGCAGATTGAGGGGAAAACAGTCTTGGTGTTTATCTGGGGCAGAACACATGCCACCAATAAACATTGACGTCTCACGCATGCACGTGAGTATTATCTTAATGGGTCAGCTGGCGTGACATGCACAAGTCATTAAAGTGTGCCCCCCTCAGGCGCTGATTATCTGACTGCGGAAAAACATCACCAAGTTGTTGATGTTTATGTCTTACTCAGTCACAAGGTTTTTGAAGTTGTCAGAAATCCACTTCAACACTTGTTTCTCCATATCCTTAAAAAACTCTGATAAATCCAAATAATAAAATAATCATTAATCACAGGTTAGCTGTGGATTAGATACGAATAATTCTGCTGAATCGTGTTCCTAATTAATAGCCATTAGTTACACTTAATTGGGGAAACTGAACTCAATGTATAAATTAGTGTTTTTTCTTTAATGCTTTTAGTCTGTGTACAGTGATGTAGTTTATGTTATAGTACATACAGTATTCACCGGAAGAAACTGTTTGGTTAACAGAGAAGGTTTGAATTGTGGACAGAGCCACTCCTGCACATCCTTGTTGACATTTCTTATCTCCCGCCTTTAGTTTGCATTTCCACCCCAAACCCTTTGGTCTGCTGTCGTCTTAGTCTTGAATGACTTAATAGTATTGATCCTGTTAGAAACATATTAACACTAATATCTCGGAGAGCTTCATCAGCTCACACTTTAGTCCAGACACTTATCACTGGACGAACAAAGTCCTGCAAAAGGACCTCGAGCCACATTTTTGACACAGAAGATTCTCGTCAGATGTCGGGAGAACGTAACTTCTTATCAATAAAGAACCTGAAATTATTTCTGTGATCCACTATTTCTAAGCTCTTACTGTCGTGTAAAACTGCTGTTCCGGTGTGTCCTTGGTGTAACTGCCTACTCTTGTGGCGTTGCATGTCACCATGTCTCACTGTCACATGCGTTTTAATCCTGATGCACAGCAGTTATCCCTGTGGATTTAAATGAAGTTTGAAAGGAGCTTTTGCTGCTAATTCCGTAATTGTCTTTTTTTTTTTTAAATCCGAAGGTATCTGCTTAATACAGATGCTTTAGGTTTTCAAGGCAGTAGTGGTTTTCAAAGTGTGGCTCACTTGGATGGAGCAATGGCCCAATGCTGGGTTGTAAACTAACTGAAGGAATAGATGTTTGTACCCTGGACAGAGGAAGCATGTCTTGTTATAGAAATAAATAATACTAAAGTCTAAGTTATATGGACTGGTGTTGGTGATTTAGTTTTTAAATGAATACAACTTGAATACTCAATTTATAATGGCAATTTGGGCCTGTATTTTTCACATCTGACATTCTGCATGTCGGGTGTCTATTTCTGTGGTCATGCTACTCATCAGTACACTTATTAAATATTCCATTGTTGTTGGAAACAACTGGCTGGTGTATATAATGTGTCTCGAATGCCCCACAGGGGTAAAGTGAAAGTGATTTTTTTTTTTTTGCTCAAGAATTGCATTAAAGTTTGTCACAAGATACACACCCAACACAGTTACTGTCATATTTAATGATTTTTCTTTTTCCTTCCACAGAAACATCTTTCCTTCCAATCTGGTGTCCGCAGCCTTCCAATCGGTGAGTGCTGATCTTGACGTTCAGTTTCACACAGTGTAAAATAAAACATTTTCCTAACTGTGTGTGTGCGTGTCACCTCCACTTTCCCTTCAGTATGCAACCAGTTACAAGGTCATTAAGAAGAACAGCACTGATGGAACCCTCAACATCACAGAGGAGAAGGTGAGCAGCGAGACTGAGATGAATCCCGTCTGTCGAGTGATTCAAAATTCTAAATAATGATGGGAACAGCTGTGGATTATTCGTGATTGATTGACGTCACATGTTCAACATATGTGAACACCACATTACTCACACTCTCATTTGGCTGTAGGTGCCAATCGGAACAGACCAGCACGGTATGAATATTCTGGGTCTGGTGGTGTTTGCCATCGTCTTTGGAATCGCTTTACGAAAGCTGGGAGAAGAAGGAGAGATCCTCATCAAGTTTTTCAACTCCTTTAATGAAGCCACCATGGTGCTGGTCTCCTGGATCATGTGGTAATTGATGAGTTCTTATTTTGGACAAGAATTCGTTAAAAGATTTAAAATTGTCTTTTGTAACATTGAGTTCACTCCTCTGTGTTCCTCCACCTCCCCTCTCCTCTCCTCAGGTACGCACCCATTGGTATCATGTTCCTCGTCGCTGGCAAGATCGTGGAGATGGAGAATGTGGCGTTGCTCTTTGCCAGCCTGGGGAAATACATAGCCTGCTGCATTGTGGGACACATCATCCATGGTGTCTTTGTCCTTCCTGCCATTTACTTTGTCATCACCAGGAAGAACCCGTACACTTTCCTGTGGGGGATTTTCACAGCACTGGCTACAGCTTTTGGAACAAGTTCAAGGTAATGGTGACATGTTGCATGTGTAGATACACAGAAGCTTTAGGCCAAAGAGGTGCTGCAGCTATAATATTAGCTCTAATGTCTCCTTAGTATCCAGTCAACTATTTATATATAAATATGCAAACCATTCTTTTAGCCGTGAGCGCAATTTTTTCCACATCTAAAATAGGATTCTCCTCTTACTCCGCGGCTCTCTTGCTAGTCGTGTCTGTGCAGTGTTTATTTCGTGAACAAGGTTTTGTGGAACTTAATGAAGGGGACAAAATGTAATAATGTATTATTTAGCTAAAATGAGACAAAACAGAGTTGGGGACACAAGTGTGAATAAACAAAAGTGAATGAACCGGAGGCAGTTTGAAGACAGGAGCAGAAAAGGTCGTTCAGTGAAACAGCGTTGATCAAGGTGTGAATGGGGCATTGTGTGGGGGACTTTGGTGTTGGCTGAAAATGTCTTACCCGCCCCCTTTTTTTTAACTACTACATGTTTCAAATTCCAACTGGTTACAACTTGTGTACGTTATTCCCTCTTGTCTTCTCAGCTCTGCCACTCTTCCGCTGATGATGAAGTGTGTGGAGGAGAAGAATGGCGTGTCCAAGCAAATCAGCCGCTTCATCCTGCCAATCGGCGCCACGGTCAACATGGACGGAGCCGCTCTGTTCCAATGTGTGGCCTCAGTTTTCATAGCTCAGCTGAACGACACTTCACTCAACTTCATCCAAGTCATAACCATCCTGTGAGTTACGACACGCGGTTGGGAAACATCTTTTCAGATTGTGTCTTAACTAACAGTGCGGTGTATTTTCCTTTCCGTAGTGTGACGGCGACGGCGTCCAGTGTCGGAGCAGCCGGAATCCCTGCTGGAGGTGTCCTCACCCTGGCCATCATCTTGGAGGCGGTGGGTCTGCCCACCAATGACATCTCTCTTATCCTGGCTGTGGACTGGATTGTGTGAGTGCTGCATAAACTTTCCGTCAAAACTTTAGGCGGAAAGTTTATACATAATTTTTGACATAATTTATTTTTTTAATAATTTAATAATTAATAATTCTATTTTTTTTAATAATTTATATATATATATATCATTTTTAATATTTTTTAAAAAGTATTTCTTTAAATAATAATTTATAATTGACACTATATTTATTCATAATAATTCATATAATTATTATATTAAATATAATTCATAATAATTTTCGGAAAATTTTTGACATAATTTAGATGAAAAGTTTGATACATAATTGATAAAAACAAATATCCTTTAGACTCTAAAGTGTTAACAGCAAAGGATCTTTTTCACCAATTATGTATCAACACTTCTGCCAGCGCTGTTGCAGACATGTTTAGCAATAGTGGCCCAAATCCTAGTTTTGTTAAAATACACATCGTTCAAAAAATAAAGACCACTTTCATGTGTTCTCTAAGTGACGTTGGTTTGAAAAGTTGTGCTACATTTATTCTGACTTTTACGTCAGTGAAGTGAGACCGATGCACAGTTCCGAGAGAACGCAGCAGCTCATTAGTTAGTTTCAGTTACTGCCTGCACATGATTTGGCCTCAGGGAAGCTGCGGCTTCCAGGCGTCTGCACTGATCAAAGCTGTAGAGCAACTACACCTTTATCCTAAAACTGTATTGACTTGCCTTTTGTGATGTGTTTTGAGAACTGCTTTGATAACATTTGTCTTCCACTTCTCCCTCAGTGACCGATCCTGCACTGTCCTGAACGTAGAGGGCGATGCCTTCGGTGCGGGAATCCTGCAGTTCTTTGTGGACCGTACGGCCAAACAGCAGGAAGACACGGAGCTGAGCGAGATCCGGCTGGGGGGGGAGCCCTCGGCTGCTGTGCCCGAGCACTCACCGCTCATTGAGAAGCGAGGTCTGGGAGATACTGCCAAAGCTTAGCAGGCTAGCAATTAGGAGTCTGTTGTCTAAAATCAGTTGCTCACAAGCAACTGAATTGTTTTTTTGTTGTTTTTATATAAAAGAAAAAGGAAAAAAAAAACAAAAAAGCTGCTGAAGCTGAAAACCAAGGTCTGGGTTTCCCTTTTATAATTTTATTCTTCTTGTCCCAAAAGGAAGGTGTGAAGCAGTGAGAAGGAACATTCACAGCACAATGAAAACATATCTGCCTTATCACTCACCTCTTTTGCAGTGAGGGTGGGAGCTGGGTGGCATTTAGAAATCCATATTATGCAAAGTGGCTTTGGGGATTTTTTTATCGAGGTAGTGTTTTGTTTTTTTTTTTTCTCCCCTCAACTTCTGATGTTTCAACTACTTTATCCTTATTGATTTTTAGAAAATCTGAAATGTCCGTTTGACTGTCATTTAACAGTTCATTCTGGTCCATGTGCAGTCTTGTGACCATATATTTAAGGAGTGCGATGACGGAACGCTGAGGAATTTTGAATAACAGAGACAGTCCTAAAATCAGAGACTTTCTAAAGTGTGCATGTGTCTCTGTCGCTCCAGGTACGCGAGTGTGTGGTTTTACATTATACATTGTATGTTATGAGAGGTTTTACTGTATACTATGTGTGGACGAAATAAGGAATTCGGCCACTTTCATGCAGACTAAATCGAATGCAAATGGCTTGAAAACTAACTCTAGATGTAGCACAGTACAAACTGAGCATTGGTTTTCAGTCTGCATGAAACTGACTCTGATTGTCTATGAAAAGCACAAAAACATCCTGTGTTTGTCGTTCGCAACTGGGGAAACCAAGGCTCTTTTATAGGTTTGTTCTACTGATGCAGGTGGGTGCTTTGTATACAATCTGATGCTAACAGTACACTATAGTTATATTATTACTACAAAGTGGAAGGAATGCAGTAATCACACTTCAGACATCCCAAGGTTTAGTAGAAAGAAAAACCCTTCTGGAAGCTTGCTGAACACGCACAAATTAATCTTTAAACTTTTCTGCCTCCTTTTAATGGACCACAAATCCCGAGGTTCACTTCTTGCTTCAGTGCTATTCTTGTGCAAATTAATAGCTGAGGAACCAAAAATGATTTTCTCTCATTACCGGGGCTGGTAAATGGGCCTAAATGAGGCTGTTTTAATGCATAATGTGTAACGTGAGACGTATAAGTATCAAGTTCTAAGTGACTCCATATTTGTCATGTTTGCGTCGGTGGCTTGTTAGCATAGGTTGTGTGTTGAATGATGTTGGCATGTTTCTGCTTCTGCTATAAAAGCTTTAAGCACATTTTTTATTATTGTTGTTGTTGTGTGGAGCTTAGGCTTGTATGTTTCTCCATGTTTTAAAGCGTATTTATTTCTTAAAACAATTTCCAAAGACTTTTTAGGCCATTGTTACAACACGACCCTGACTGAAATTATTTTTTCTTGCCAACGTATCGAAGAACTGCATTTAAAACACTTTTTATTTTGTCGTCTTTTTTAATTTAGTCTCCTTTGCTTGTATTTTCTGTGCTGGTGTGGGGTACATTAACTGTAACACTATGGTGTTTTTATTCCATTACTGAAACATGTCTGCCTTGGAGGCTATCTGTTAAGCTGGATTGATTTTACCTTTTCTTTCATACCAACTATAACTCATCAGTTGTAATTGAGATTAAATATGTGCAGAGTTTGAGGAATATTCTTGCAATGGGTGTTTTTATCCTTTACTTGTACTAAGTCTTACTCATGACACCAAAGTTCACCTCTTCTTTGTTTGGTGCTGGTTTGTGAACATAGTTATCAGAGATGTTATATTTCCTTACTGGGGTAATTGACAATATGGATGTTTGCTCTGTTTATAGGGTGTGTATGTTCGTGTGTGTGTAATGTATGTTTTGTATGGTACTTGTGATTTTACTACAGTGGAGTTCAGTAACGTTACATGTCAACGTTACTCTAGGTTCTAAAGCAAATAAAGGCCTTTAATTACCTTGACCTTAATTGCACATTGGTCTGTTAACCTGATGGAATGGTGTGGCGCTGTATTGAAGGTGTGTGTAGCATGTTGGTATTCTGGAGCATGTATTGTCTGCAGGTGGCGTTTAATACAAATTTGACAGCACTATTTTGTGTGTGTTGCACTGTTAGCTTAGTTTCGATATAACTTTTACACAAAAACACTTTTGGGGGCTGATAGACCTAGTACAGTGCAGTTATACTTACAAAAAGAAAACATTTTATTTGGCGAATATCTTAAACACACGGGTATTTCACCGAACGGTTTTGTTTCCTCCCAAAACATTCGCTCCTCACCTCAGCTCTTTATTTTCTGTAGTAGCTACTGAAATGTTTTAGTCGCTTTGCTGCCCTCTATGTGACAATGGGGAACTGGCACTGATATGTAAGTTTATTCCCTTTCTTCAAGGAGAATATCAGTTCTCTAGCAATCACAGTTATTTATATTACGTTCAGGGGAGATTTGAAGCAAATGATGCTAACGTGGCAACCCGGGACGAGGAGGGCGGCGGCGGGCAGGAACCACTAATTTGAACTTTTAGACCCGCCAAGGTGAAGTCACGTGGATGCATGACAAGGAAACTGTCAAAAACGTTTCTACAGAGATGCGCCATCGTGTCCTTAAGGTAGCGTTGCAAAATATGCATGTACTGTATTTTGAAACAACCCATGTTTCTGCAAATTCACTCTTACAATATCCCCTCTGTGGTGTGAAGTAAATGCTACGCAGTTAAAAAAATGCAACAGGGGACACATCTGACATACACGGAGTTCTTTTTCTTGCCTCCATAAATAGCCGCACATATACTTACGTAAATATATCTGTTCACCAGGGAAACAATGTGACTAATGTAAACGAATAAAAACACTAGTGGCGTCAACAAATTATCATGGTCAGGGTATATAAATAATAATAATAAAAACTATTAAAACGATGTAAGTTTACTACACACTAGATACCAGTTTACTAAGACACTTCACTGCACTACCGCAAGTCATGGTAGTGCAGAAATAAAGAGGCATGCTGCGCCATCTATCGTTGAAATTGAGTCATAGCACATAAGTAGTAGTAAATAAAGCTTAAACATCAGAATAATCACAGACGGTTCCAATGCCTTTATTGAACCACGAATTTATCATACAAGTCAATACATCTGATTATGAAGATCTGCTTTGCTGGGCTGTGTGATTTTTTTCTTTTTATTTATATATTAATCTATTGCAGTTAATGGTCAGCCCAGTTATTGCTTTATCATAATTTTAAATTGAAAGAGCCTCTCGTTATCTTCATCTTACTGACAGGATGACTGTATGATATTTCACATTACAGATGTCAGATACCATATGGTATCACCATATATTAATTTCTCTGTGTATACTGTCTTACTATATGTTTATGTTAATCTGGAACCCATCCTGTTTATATGCATATCGTATACAACAGTTAAATAAGTACCATTTAGTAAAAACTCTTTTTATTACATATCAATCATGACACCCCGCCATTAAATAAAACACCTGGACAAACAAAATCCAACATCACAATTGAACACTAAAAATAACAGCCAGTAAATGTGATCAGGTATCTTCTTAAATCTTTATCTGCTGTTCCAGTGCAGATAAATTTAGCAGCAAGTTGAAAAAAAAAATCAATTTCTTCCGGTCAGTTTTTGTGTTTATTTATGACGCAATAATGTTGGTAAATTTTCAAAGTTTGCTGCGGTCTAGTCTTCTTTTTGCAGGGTTAGGATACTGTGGGTTCTCAATCACACCTTCTCCAAATTTCAGCTCCAAGAAAGCTCGGGGGTTGTTAGGGCCAAATGCAGTGATGCCAGCGAAGGGCATGGGCACCAGTGGCTGCAGGAAGTGTTCTGGGAACTCCACGTCTTGTTTGTGCTCTGTCCATGTGTCCTTGGTCATGACACCATTCCTAGGATAAAACGGCCACAGATCGACATGCAGGTGGTTGGCCTCGCTGTACTGCACTCTATAAAAGTCTCCTTCCACTGCACGCTCCCACACGTAGCCATTAGCATCCACCAGAGAACCCGAGTCAAGATTCTTTAAGTGGTCACAATTGGGTACATCCTCCAGGTAGATACCCAGATCTACGTCATAATCCCACGGAATGATGTCCTGATGGCGGACGGCACCGAGCAGAGATCCTCCCTCGAGCCAGTAGCGCACGCCCGAGCTTTCAAGGATATTGATGACATATTTAGTGGTTTCCCTGAGAGCTCGCAGACAGCAGGGAGGTGTCCAGCGATCCAGGTAAAGGTAGTCTGGAGTGTCATCCTGCACAGTGCCAAAGCAGCGAGATGTCTCTTTACTGCAGCCATACCACTGTTCCTTCCCATCAGGCATCAGGAGGCGTTTCAGACCGAAGCTCTTCATGAGGTTACCAGTGGCCGCCTTAAGTCGAGTGTCAGCTTTCCACTGGTTGTGTGCAGAGCTAAAGAGTGGACGGTGGTTTGCAGAAATACAAGGGCTCTCCAGCAGCTTGACTTTCCAGCCTCTTAATGATGTCTGAATGAAGAGTGTGGGGAACAGGGGCCGTCCCAGAGGGACAGACAGGTTAAAAAGATCCTCTGTGCGAATGAGGACAACTGCATCTCCTTGTAGAGCTGTACAAACACTGCCACTGCTTCCAGAAGCAGCCGGTGAGTAGGTGGCTGTCCATTCTCTGAGGTTGACTCGTAGGTGAAGACACTGTACAGCAGATCTAGCCAGGACAGGTGCTGCCACCAACCTCACAGGTCCTCCACCCTCACCTTCCAACTCCCTGATCAATCTCTCAATAGAACGAGGTTGCTCCAGCTCCACACCATCAGGCACCAGCAAGACAAATTCGGTCTGGACATGGAACTCTGGTCTGTGGGCTTGAGGAGGCTGATCTGGGCTGGGGGCAAGCACTAGAAGACGAGCCCCTTCTGAAAGCACCAGCGGTGGGTACGGAGAGATATCAGCAACGGCCAGGAAAGGAAGCTCAGGTCTCTGGTGAAGGAATGAATTAGCCACATCCCCAACATAATTTTCAAAGTTTTCAAACTCCCTTAACAGGATAGTCACACGTGGGCCACGATTGTGTCCGTCCACTCCGTTGCCTCTTGCCTCTCTTCCAGCTTCTCCAAATAACCCAAGACCTCCGCCAACACCAGAGACTGGCAGTGCCGATCTTCTAGTGCCCCTACCAAGCTCCTTCCTCTTTTCCATCATTTGCTGCTGTGCCCGAGACACATAATAGAGAATGAGGAGGTTGAGGATGATGGCACCAGTTAACAGGCCCTGGCAGAAACTGATTCGCATGGCAGCTGAAGTTTACAGTCCAGTATGAATGATGAAATCCACTTGCTGGTCCTCGGTCCCCATTAGTGTCAAAAGTAGAGGATCGATGATTTAGAAGAAAACCTGTAACATGTGGATACTTCATCAAGCATGGTTGAATTGGTAACCTTTCAAAGGTCTGTTTCAATTACAATAAACCAGCTATTATTTTTGGAGCTGTTTCTATGTAAACCCATAACAGGAACGCTGTTACCCCACATACAGTATTTGTCTCCCTTATACATTAAAATGTACATGCATCTCCAAACAATTAACAATGATCTTAACATCTGTGTCTGATGAAAACTCACCTGGATACAGAACACAGTCGTTTGCACCAAATAGCCCATTACATTATGAATTTGCCTTGCAAAGATGAACCCATTCATCTGCTGTGTATTTGTGTTTTCCCATGATCCTCCGGCTCGGTTAGCTCTCTTAGCACAGGAGTATATACTCGAGTGTTATATGCAACAACAAACACAGCGTATTTTCGGCATTTGTAGTAACGATGTCGCATTCCCAATAAGTAAGAAAATTGTATTTGTTGTTACTGATTGACCTGGATCAGGAGCTACAGTAAACGGTAACTGTGTACGCTATTACCATCGTTCCTTGTGTAAAATCACAACACTTCCGACTCGGGTATTCCACAATAAAACGACGAATTACTCCTTACATTTGTTATAAGAAATTCTCGAAAAATACAGTGTTTTCAGTAGAGCACATATGCTTTTTAATACCAATACATTAAAAGGTCTACAAAGCTGTAACTACAGACACAGGGCATAGGGTCTTTAAATCACAATTTAAGAAGATGTTTTTTAATATTTCGGGTATGTTTTTAGAAATCGAAAAACATTTGCTTCTTTAAAGACAAGTGTTGTTTTATGTCAGATGAACTCAGGGAGCTTAACACTATATTTGTACAGAATTCATAATTTCCAATAGACAGGCGTATGTGGCTTGAAGGTCATCCACTGACAAAGTACTGACTGAGCTTTATTCAGAGTTCAAACCGGAAACATTATTCTCTAAACATTAATATATTTAGCGTTACTCGCCACGATGGTTCACAAATTGGCAGGAAATGAAGCCCGTAAGCGACAGACGCAATTTGTAATTATAGAAAGGACGGCGCATTATTTGCCACCGTCGCCGGAAATACCAACTAGATTTAGATGTTTTCAAACTTGAAGGGCAAAACAGGGACATTATTTTAGACATCGCCGTATAAGTTGTGTCTTTTAGTTGTCTCTTTTACCATTGCTCGTTTTAACGTGTTGTCATCACACCACGTATATTTGTAAAATGTATCCGCCTCGTACTGAAAACACGCGACTCGGTCATGTTTTATTGTGAAGGGTATAGAACGGAAGCGTAGTATTTTATCGTCTGAATAGTAATCTTGCTCTGTGCCTGTGAGAAAGGGAAGAAAGGAGGGGACCCTACGGTGAAGAGCCGCTGGGTTGGAAGAAGGGTACGGGGCAGTTTTTCTTTTATTATTGTTCGCACTCTTCCTGTTTCCACCTGGCGAAAGGTTAAACGGTTAAAATGGAGGCGGACAGATCCGTCGGAGGACCAAACCAGAACCCCGGAATCGTTAGCAGTAACAGCGGAGCGGGGCGCAACCCAAATGGGCCCAAAACAGCACCGGGCCAGTCGACATCAGCTGCGGTGTCCGGGGCGATGGCAGTCGCTGCCGGGGCCATGCCTGGATCGTCCCAGGCTCGGGAACTACAAGACGGCGACGCTGGAATGACGCTTCCTGGGATCCTGCACTTCATCCAGTTCGAGTGGGGACGTTTCCAGGCCGAGAAATACCGCTGGGAGGCGGAGAGAGACGAACTCAGGGTAAATTTGTTTCTTATTTAACCCACATCTGCACCATTTTATCCCCACATAAAACCTGGACGGATACTGAAGGACATTGTGCAGTGTTTGCTTTGTGACAGCCAGTATCAGTCAGTTTTAGAATGACAACATGCTAACAGGCTAACGGGTAATCTTAGTGACCAGTCGCTTTTCTTTTATATTGTTAATGTAAATAAAGGGACATTAGTTTAGATATTAACTGATGCTGAACGAGCACCAAACAGACACAGTGATGGTTTTGACATAAAAAACAACAATGTTTGCAAGGTAATTGAAAGTGTATGTTTATGTCGTCATTACATATTTCGAATAAAATTAGATAATATGTGATAAATAAAGTGGTAATGTTTGTGTATACGTTCCAGTCGTTGATAAAACATTTTTAGAAGAACATGAAACCGTTAAAATTATAATAACATGTTTTTGTTTTGATTTACATATAATCTTCAAATTATTTATCATTTCTCTCTGAAATTTAACAGAATCAACAACTAAAATTTCCAAATTGGTACATTTTAAAAAAATAAGCACAATATTGGATTTGTTTGCAGTTCAGCTGAAAAAAGGTTTCTAATGCCCTTAGCAAAGAAATTTAAGCTGTGTAATGACCTACTTCCACTAAAAGCCAGACTTTGTGATATTATAAAGAAAGACATTTGCCCCCTAAGTAATGAGGAGGAAAACTGCAAATAAGCTGACAAAATTACAAAAGTAGTTTGGAGACAATAGTTTGAAAAAAAAAGCTAGATGCACGTAGTTTACCATCTGCTGAGGAGAGACAGAGACATAATAGACAAAGAATGGAATGGTAAAATGGTATAAGTGTGTATAAGGAAAGGTATAGAGTGAAATCGAGGAGGAAATCCCGAGCATAACTTTGTCTTATGAGCTTAAACATAGTTCTGTTATACTGTTAAAAATGAACAAAATAGTTATTTATGTCAGCCCCAGAAATTCCAGCCATTCTTTTTACAAAAGTATTCAACATTTTCCTTTCTGTGCACATGCACAAACAATGTCCCTATGCTATGGCGATGTATTGTTTAGAGATTGTCCTTTATCTGTCCCTTAGTTATATTACTACTGGTTGTATTTCACACTGGTGTTTACCAAGTTTCCAGTCAGTGTCGTATTGAATACATCAGTCAGTGTCAGTCTCTCGTGTTACTGTATTCTTCTCTTTGCTTTCCACACCTGAGCTCTCAGGTGTGGCTTCAGTGAAGCATTGCATGTTTGTTTATTTAAAGAACTCATCAAAGATGCGTTTCTACTGCGTAGCTGTAGTGTCTGTTTTAGTGTTTTTCAGGCACCACTTCTTAGCATCAATCCTGTTGCTAATAGATAATTACAACCAAACGTACTTTGCACCGTGAAACACAGAGCAGATATGATCAGGTGATGTGTAGTGGAGTTTTTGAGGTTGAAACACATGGTACTTCCATACAGCTGTGTGTCCACTGTTATCACTGCATTTGACAATGAATCCTATTGAGAGTTGTTGACATAGTGAGTGCAAAGGCTATACCAGTGTGAAGAAAGGACTTTTAAAGGGTTGTTTTTTTATAGGAGCATACATGATTTGCCTGCAGAGAGAAAGTGTTCATTCAGGGTGACCTTTGAACAAATACCTTTGTTCCTTCCACACTCAGTAGACATTAAACTGTTTCCTGAATCCTGAATTAATTATATTTCACTTCAAACTGTGTTTAGATTCCTTAAGACTTTCTGCCATTGTATCCTACTGTATCCTGTGGTGTTTTTAAAAAAGAGAACCAACATTTGGGTTGTCCGTCAGAGATATATGAACACGACTGTGATGTCTCGACTACAGCACTGCTTTTCAATGTCATTCACACCTGCAAGATGACATTGAGTCATCTTATCTGGAGAATTCATTATATAAGAGATATTTTAGCTGGTACGTATACGTGCCAATCATTTCTGACTGACATTTCTGTGAAATGGTTGAGTTAAAAATATTTAAAAAGTGTTAGGCAAGGTCGTAGAAATACCCATGACTGTGGTATGAGTTATCTAATAACCTCAGTTTTTTTTTTTGTAAGCCAACAGCAAGAGACAGTGGTTGAACTAACTGTGCGAGGCAGAATATTTCTGGACATGATTGTGCTTACTCATCAAATGTTTCCCGTATTGAGAAATATTGGGAAACAAAAAAAGCACTATATGAAAATAGGATGGTGGCGTTCCAGCTTCGGAGGAAGGACCAAATCACATTTTCTCTCCTTCACTCGTGTGCTGTTTTCCAAAAGTAGCTTCACTTTCTGTGTACAGTAGGATACATTGTAGGATGAACTATTTTGAGGGGCTCGTGGGCTGAGCTGGACCAGAGAACGGTCTTGAACATTGGCTTTTTTCACCTTGGTACTGTTTTTTTTTTCATTTTGCCTCAAGTTAGACCTACATGGTTAAAAATAGGAGCTCGATAAAATATGGATGAACAATAACAAACTGGCCGTGTTGTCGGCTTTGAGAGGCACTGAGGGGAAATGAAAGTCAGAAGCGGGACACTTCTGTGTCCAACACGCCATTAGTGCTCGTTAGGCAACTTTGTTTACGTGTGCACGTTAGCTGCACGTGGTCCTGGTTCCCTGGTGCAATTAGCGCCATGTCCTGTGATGATAGGGCAGCTCACTGGAGTGCTGGCCTCAAAGAAACAGACCTAGATTATATCCTGACACCCACTGTCCCCAGGTTTGTGGTTGTGTTGCTTCTGTGGTTGCGTAGCTCTGCCTCTGCCTGTGACTGTACCTCCTTGGCTTGGACCTGCATCCCAGAGAATAAAAGAATCTTTAAGTGATTAGTAAGGAGACAAAGCTGTGACCTGGGTTATACAGACATTAGGTCTGGCATCGTATGACTCTGTGTAGCTGTTTAAGTCGTTGCCTTTAGCGTCAGGCGTCTCCTTTGAGACTGTAACACTTGTTCGCTCTGAGTGTTTTTGGTGCGAAAAGCCACCTGTGGTGCTTTATCTTCACTGACAGGCCTGGAATTAAAGTCTGCCCAGCTCGATGCTAGGTTGAACATCTTAGCATGACCATGAAACAACTGTGCAGGGGACATTTGGCCCTGACTTTGTCTCCACTCTTTCTGACACCTACATTTTTTTTACACCATTTGTAGTCTGTACTGCTGTTCTCTGTCTTAACAGATCCATAGTTACTCTAACGTAAAGCTTTTCAAAAATATGGACTTCAGCTCTTTGCATTAACCATGTCAGTAGTTAAATGGAAAAGATTACCCATGACCCAGTGGGCATCGTTGGGCCCCAGGGTTTACAACTCTAATTACCATCTCTGTGTTCTCAGCCATGTCACACGTGACATCCACATGTATTCCATTATCACAGTGTTTGTCTGCCACCCATGAAGACTGGCAGCACACGTTGCACTCAGAGTTGTACCAGGGTTCCCACGCACCCTGGGAAACTGGAAAATAAATGACTAATTTTCCGGGCGTGAAATACATATGAAAAATGAGAAAGAAAATGTATCCTTTAAAGTTATCCTTTAAAATAATGTCTCCCTGTGTCTCCCAGGTCAAAAGTTCTTACCTCAAAGCAGTTCTTCACTTTCCTATTTCTATTTACTTTTGTTGCTAGGACTAGGGCTGTTTCAGGAGGCTGATTAAGAGGACAAAAGATTAGTTTTAGTTTATGATGCGATGAGTTGTTTGTCATGCTATAGCAGCTGAAAATGTCATGGAAAAGCCCTGAATAATTGGTTTTATTGGGAGTGTTTATTGGAACCTTGATCGTTGTTTGTATGATTCTCAGAAATGTTATCATCACCCCAGGGGTAAGTTTAAATCCTTAAGAAAGCAAACAGTTGGAAAAAAAAGCTAACAACGTTAAATACCTGAAGAAGTGGACAAAAGATTATAGATTAAAAGTTGTATTTGGTTGAATGTTTACACTGAAATACTGCAGTCAGTATCACAGAAGCCTGTGAGGGGAAAAAAACTTTGTGATTGCTCTGTTTTGAACTAGGGCTGCATTTCACCCAGAGGTTTTGCTGACGTGCTAAGAATGGTTTCAGATTGTCTTTTTTTTTTCTCCCGGAATTCTGTCAAATGTCGCCTTTTATTTTATTCAGTTGGTTTCCCTGCAGTTTGTTTTAAAAAGTTCACTGTTTAATTCTACACCTTCACACGAACAGACCACAGACTCCATCACGGCACACTGTCCCAGAAACCATCACTGCTCCACTTGTTTGCTCTTGGATGTGGATCTGGATGGTGGCCAGTCAAGAAACGTTGCCCTTGACCCCGTTTTCTGTAGCTCGCAGAGAGACACTGACAGAGCAACCGAAATATATTTCAACTGTCTTTGCTTAAACAAACGGGAAAAAGGTCAGCGGCATTAGTCCACACTTAGGTAAACCTGCTCTCAGAAAAGATCAGCTGGTGTGACTGGTTTGCTCACAAACCTATGTTTACAATGTTTTCTTGTTTGACACTTGCGAGACCGAGAATTGGTTTTGTTACTTCTCCATTGATTGTATTTATAGCAAGGATGATTCAGATCTTCATTTCATCAGCCACTTTCTTTTGGTTTTTCCATGTCAACGTCTTCGCACACTGCTTCTGTCACCACAGTTCAAACACAGTAAAAAGAGCCTTTGAAAACCAAGCAGAGAGTAAATATCAAGGCCAGTGAAAAGTCTTCTCTTCTTACTCGTCTTTGTCTGATGAAATATTTACATTCTAACATATGTACAAGGGGCTGATATTACCAATGTGCTCATGCCATAGTGCCCTCGAGATGTCTTAAAATAAACATGAGTTCTTCCATAAATAGAATAGTGAACATTTTTATTAAAGACAACATTGAAAAATGCCCAGAAAAACCCTTTGAAGATGTCAAATTAACACAAACCAGGTAAATTGAAATATTAAATTATTACACACTTTTACATTTTTAGTTTCTTAATTTGACCCTTTGCCTGGAAAGTCCTGCTCACTCAGAGATAAAATCCTTTTTTTTGGTACTGTTGTGTGATTGTCAGTGTGTGTGTGTGTGTGTGTGTGTGTACATGCTCAACATCAACATCGTCTCTCTCTTTGTCCATACAGCAGTTTTTTGTGTTTTGGGAACCAGTGAGAACTTGCCCTTCTAGAAACACAACATGACACTGTGTTGTGTACAAGGCAGTGATGTGTAGGTGTGTGTGTGTGTGAGTGAGCAGGTCGTAGCTCGCCTCTGTCTGAGAAGCTGTAGAAACACATGTCTTGGCTTCTTCGAGGTGACACAGACACATTCCACTCAGAGGTGAAATATTTCAGGAGCTTCTCTGTGGATTCATATCTGTTAGTTGAGGTCTGAGAGGCTGTGGTCTCAGCTTTATTCAGTCCAGAGCTAAGGCACATTCATTTTATTGTGTTATGTTAAAACGACCAACAATTCCCATCTACCAGTATAAAATACAGCGTAGGACAATATAAATACCTATATTTGTTCCAGTACTGTTTGTTTGTTTTGTTTTTTTCTAATGCAAATCTGTATTTATGGTAAAAGTATAAAGTATTAATTTAAGTATTTATACTTCATTACCTCTGATCTCAGATGTCATTGAAGCATATAATCCTACAGCCATAACCAGGATTAGTCAGCAGCAGTTGTAAAGATTGGCTGACTGCACGTCAGTGTGTGTGTGTGTGTCGCAGTTTTCTGGGTGATTGACCACTTGTTCAAGTAGACCGAGTGCTGCCCCCTTGAGATAGTGTTTTTAGACTGTTCCAGTTTTTTGCAGAGCTACATGTTCGTGTGGGAGCAGACTGGGGCAGCACCAAAGAAGTAGGCTGTGAAACAGGCAGTGTTAATGCTTCAGCACTTTTGGGCCAAAAGAGAGAGAGCGAGAGAGAGAGAGAGAGAGAGAAAGACAGAGTGAGAAAGACAGAGAGAGAGAGAGAGAAGGTATTTTTGCATCTACTTCAAATTGTATGCAAACCACTGGACATGAAGCTAAATAATGCAAATGAAAGTGTTGTTCACAGCGACACTGTTGTTGTTCAAAGTTTATGTACAAGTCTCACATTATGTCATAAAAGTAGTCAGAATGAACAGAGAACACCCTTTTCCTCAAGGTAGGCAGGAATTTTATCAGTTGAGTGAGGAAGGAAATGGATCTAAAAGAGAGGGAGGAAGCAGTCAGTGGAAGGATGTGTCTGTAAAGAGAGTATTTTGAAACTGGCCTGGCACTCTGATGCTTTTTCCTCTCCTGCAGATGCGCAGTGAGACCTTGGTTTGGAGAAGTTTAAAAATAAGGGCCCTGTTCCACAACCCTCTACTTACTTCTCTCTCTCAGAAGCTGTGGTTTCTGTCTTTGACAGATCCGATTTTTATACTTAACTCTTGTGAGAATTCTGTTGACATCACATGCAGCAGTTTGTTCTTTACATTAATTTCTCCACCGTCTTGTTGATGTCTGTCCCAGGCTCAGGTAGCCTTCCTCCAGGGCGAGAGGAAGGGGCAGGAGAATATGAAACAGGATCTGGTGAGACGGATCAAAATGCTGGAATATGCCCTCAAACAGGAGAGGTACGTGACCTGAGGAGAGAGAGGTTCTTGTTTTTCTCCATCACCACAATTTTTCTGTTGACGTTGGTTGGTTTTTCACTCTTCTATTGCATGTAATGCTGCCCTCTCGTGGCCTTTTGTATGGTTACAGGGCCAAGCACCAAAAGCTGAAGACGGGAAACGACCAGAGTCCTGGAGAGAAGAAATTAGAGACAGAACCAGACCAACGTAATTTTAACTCACTTCTGATTCATTTATTACTCTCTTAATTTTTTTCAGATATTTTCTGCTTTGTCTCGTCATGAATAATGACTTAACTCCTCTGTTTTGTCTAGTTCCTAATGGGCCTATAGAGCCGGATTCAGAGCCAGCCAATCAGATGTCCTGGAAGGAGGGACGTCAGCTACTACGGAAGTAAGATGTCTCTGATATCGTCATTTTTACCTGTAATTTACCTTAACATAATTGTTTATTGATTCATGATTCTTTTTGTTCAATCTAGATATTTGGAGGAGGTGGGTTATTCAGACACTATACTGGACATGCGGTCTAAACGTGTGCGCTCACTGCTCGGGCGAAGCAGCCCAGAGGCTAACGGACCCCCCGTGAGTGAAATCTGCTCCGAGCCTGAGCCCCGGGCAAGCGGGGAGTCGTTACTTGTCAGACAGATCGAAGAACAAATTAAGCGGTAAGACTGTACAATAGTTATCGCTGGTTTTTACTTATGTGTCTGTATATGCCTAATAGCTCATGACATTATTTTATGTACTGTTTTAATTGGCTATTAAGGCTAAAATCTGCGTCTTTTNNNNAGGCTAAACTCTCCGTCTTTTGGCAGAAATGCAGGCAAAGAAAGCTCAAAAGAGCGACTCGGTGGCTCGGTGCTAGATAAAATTCCCTTCCTCCATGGCTGCGAGGACGACGATGACGACGATAGTGATGAGGAAGACGACTTTCAAGGCATGACGGCCGACTGCATCGATGGACCACGCAAAAATAAAAAGTCACGTGTAAAGGTGTGATTATGAAAGTGTTAGATTAGGGTCCAAAGAATCGTGATAAATTCATGATTCATTTAGGTTACGCTTTACCTTTTGCATTTTCTCTCTCCTTCCATCTAGATGGGAACAGAGCCAATGACAACAGACCTGGATCCAGAGGATGAGGAAGATGATGATGATTCAGAAGATGCCCTGGGAGAGTTTGACTTCTTGGGCTCGGGGGAGGATGGGGAGGGGGCAGGAGAGGCCCGGATCTCGGGGGACGGCCGGGAGTTAGGTACGCGGTTGCCATAGCTACATCATCATCTGCACCAGCACTGCCTGAATCACTGCCACCAGTCTTGTTCCTCCTTTTATCCCCTGCCTCCTTTCCTTGCTCACTTTCCTATCTCTTACTTCTTATTGTGTCCTGGCATCTCTTTGTGTCAATAAAACCAGCTTCTTTTCCCAACTACCTGTCTCTCTGTCAGTCTGTGACTCTTAAGCACTGGGTACCTGTCTATGCCGTCTGACTCCTGTCTGTGTTCCCGGGGTCATTTCACAGGTTTCCGTGCATGCTGCCTTCTGTCATGAACAAGTCCGTATTTGAATCTTTGTTGTCAGATTTACAAATCAGCCCCTGTCATTCCATCCTCATACCAAAGAAGCTCAGATTGTGTCTTTCCCTTCTTGGCCTGTCTCCTCTGTGTTGGGCTCTCCGCTCCTTCCTCTGCCTGTCTGCATGACCGGCTCTTTTGTGTGTCTCTCTCCGATTGCTGGGTTCAGAGAACCGTAGGAACAAGTTACAAGGAGTGATGTCGGACTTCCCCTCTAAACCTGCCTCACCCCCTTCTGTAGCAGGACAGGCTCGCTCCAGTGAAGGTAAGATTTTGATACAGTCCATTGATCCATATCTGTTAAATCGGCCCTGTGTAGTGAGTAGTTCCCATGTTGTCTGCCCCAAACCTATAAACCCTTTCTCTAGTACAAAAGCTGGGATTGAGTCAACAAGATCAGTGGAGTCTTTGAATTTAAGCTCAATGTTTACTTTCTTTATATGACAATGACAGTTGTGCATTTTTACCCTCCACCTGTAGGTGGCGCCCTCGGATTCTCGTCAGACGTCTTCATCATGGATGCAGTAGGAGGAGGAGACATGAACCTGGGTGAACTGGCTGACCTCACCGTTGCCAATGACAACGATCTCTCCATGGATGTAATTAAACATCAGTTCCTGTCCATTCACTGTGGTTTCATTAGACACGGGGAGACATTACAAAAACATTGGTGTGTTCTTATATGTCTTTCAATATAACAGATGCAGGATAACAGAGAGGAGTTTAAGAAGACGTGGAACCCTCGCTTCACGCTACGCAGTCACTTTGACGCAATCCGAGCTCTCACCTTCCACCCCAACCAAGCGGTGCTTCTCACAGCTTCTGAGGACGGAACGCTGAAGCTGTGGAACCTCAACAAGGCCATGCACTCCAAAAAGTGAGCTCCACAAGAGCAGTGCATTTGCTCAAAGTCTATTTGTGCAGCAACACAAGCATGAAATTGAAGCCTAAGTCAGGTTGAAAAAATAAAATCTTCTCTTCACAGGAATGCAGCTTTGGATGTTGAGCCCATCTATACATTCAGAGCCCACAGGTGAGTTTTGTCCAAGGTAATATTTTTTCACTGTTTAAAACACCAAGAAAATAAAATCCTGTTTTTTCCCCCCAGTGGAGCTGTTTTGTCACTGACGATGGGTGAGGAGGGAGAATCCTGCTACAGCGGGGGTCTGGATGGGTCTGTAAGGTGTTGGAAGATGCCGGATCTGAACGTAGATCCTTATGATAACTATGGTCAGTGATTCCTACCTCAGAACTTGTCGCCAAATAAAATCAGTTCTCAGTTTAAAAAAACAAAAAAAACAATCGTTTTTTCTATGCTTATTTCTGTGGCCAGATCCTGGAATTGAGAGCAGCATACTAGCAGGACACGAGGACAGCGTCTGGGGTCTCACCTACTCTGCAGTTCACCATCGTCTTGCTTCATGTTCAGCCGACGGCACCATTCGTATCTGGGACCCTCAGAACTCAGCTCCCTGCCTGTCAGTCTTTAATAAGGAGAGAGGTAGAGAATGAGTGTGTGCGTCGCGTCACCCTCTGCCTTTTGTTTTGTGCTGTCTCGCTGAGACTTTTCCCTACCTTTCCTACCTCAGAGCATGGAACCCCCACCTCTGTAGCCTTCGTGGCCACTGATCCCAACCAGGTGGTGGTGTCATTTGATGCTGGAGAAACACTGCTGTATGACCTCAACACGGAGCAGAGCATCATCGCGCTAGAGACGCAGACTAAAGATGGTATGTTGTAATCTGAATCTCAATCACAGTGTAGCAGTGTGGATCAAAAGTAAACAGGATTAATCCAGATGTATCAACATTCCTAAATATGTTTTTCTTTATATTTCTGGAGCAGGAAGGTGAGTGACAGCAGGTCGATGTTTGTGTTTCTCACCTGTTTTTATTGGTGATGAATACGAATGATGGAATTATTAATATGAGAAAATGTTGTATTTTCGTCATAACTGTTCAATTGGACAGTCACTTTGAATGCATCGAGAGTTTCTTTCTAAACTTCAGCCTCAGTCATACTGTCAGTCTGACTTCAGAGGTTGAAGCCTTAACAAACCCATGCTTTACTGTGTGTAAATGGTAACATATTGACTGTATTAGAGCAACGATAAGAAGGACGGACAAGGGAAATATAGTGCATATCATTTGGATCATCAGTTCTAATGTGCTATAATTTTTAATCTTAGTGATCAATACAATTAACAACGTTAATTTTGACCTTGTGAAAAAAGGTATTATCAGAATGTATAAAAACAACTAAATCCTGTCTGTATATCATTTATTACAGGCAGTGAGCTGATCAACCGAGTGGTCAGTCATCCTACTGAGTCTGTCTCTGTCACTGCACATGAAAACCGCACCATCCGCTTCCTAGACAATAACACAGGTACTGTATCTGCAGTAGCAGAGAGAGTTTCATCTTCACCACTCCATTTTAAAAAAAATATTATTTGAAAAACAAATGAATGTGTGTGTGTGTTTGTACAGGTAAAGTTGTTCACTCTATGGTGGCCCACCTGGATGCAGTCACCTGTCTCACTACAGACCCTAAAGGCACTTACCTCATCTCTGGCAGTGAGTATGACCTGACTGTGTTCCTGTGGAACCAGAAAAGACTTTTTTTTTTCTATTTTCTGTATTATAGTCTGGTGCAGTGGTGGGACTCCTGTCTGCCATGCTAAGAACATGTATTTTCACATTCTTAAAATATATATAGAATATAAAATATAAAAAAGATATTAGATAAAATATTCTCAAGAAGAGGCTGAGGGTCTCAAAAGGACGGGTGACCTTGTAGCATTTCTGAATCTGATGGTTTATTTAAATATGAGTAGGAAGGAAGCACACAAAGTTTGAGCTCAACACCATACAACTGTGAGTCATAACATCAACTGTGGACAATGGATGTGAAAGGAAGTGGTTTCTCTCTCGTTTTAGACCACTTTTGTTGTTTTGGTTTTTTTTCCTCTGTGTTTTGAACACAGTAATGAAGTATCTGCTCTATAACAGGAGTCTGAATAATAATAATCATATAAAAATCTTGGTCTCAAGTCTGGTGTTTTTCTTTTTTTTTTTTTTGCCTCCACCTACTCCTTGCCCACTGCAGGCCACGACTGCTCTGTCCGTCTGTGGATGTTGGACAACAGGACGTGCGTGCAGGAGATCACGGCCCACAGGAAAAAGCACGACGAGGCCATTCATGACGTGGCCTTCCACTCGTCCCAGCCGTTCATTGCCAGTGCTGGCGCAGATGCACTCGCCAAGATCTTTGTCTGACAGAGCTGTAATCATTCTGGTGAGAAAGTGTGTGTGTGTGCATGTGTTGTGAATTGTGGTGTGTTTGATGTTTGAACTGCTGCAAGGCTAGTAGTGCAAGTTCTTACACATACACGGAGCTGTTAGCCTGTCCTGATAGGCTGAGATGTTGTGGTGATTGAACAGCGAACACTTTTTGTCTGGTCGTTGCAAATTATTTGAAGTGTCAAAGAGGTCAGTTGATGAGTTGTTTTTATGTTTTGTTTGAATATCATATTTTGCAAGGGATACGTTCAGGTTTATATTGACCCTTTTTAAATTCTTAAAGCAAACATACAGAGAACTCAGCCCAGGACGGTTGAAAAAGTTCAATGTTTTGAGTAAGAGTGAACTTGAGGTTCCTCACATTTGCTTTAAATACTGGAAAAAGAAAAAATGGAAAAGAAAAATGGTATAGTATATTTGTGGACCTGGCTACATAAAGCTGTGTAATTGAATCTAGGTAAACTATTTTTCAAATACATGGTACTTGAAAAACAACCTATAAAGATCCATTTACACTTGGTTACAGCTTGTAAGCAATGACTGAAATCGCACCAAAATCTGAGGTCAGTACCCAGCTATGTATGTACTTAGTGGTACCGTTGTACTCCTGAGGTACTGCTAGCTAGGACGACACATTTGAATATGAAGCCAGTTGACTTTTCCTCACTGGGCAGAGCAGTGAAGATGAACCTGAAGATGAAGTTTGAACTGAAATGAATGCGTCTTTATGATTGTTTACCTTCGTCTCCCCTCAGAGTCCTGCACATAACGCTGGGCCAAAAGAGACTGAAGACTACAGTGGACAAATCTCACCTGCCCAAACACACTTACTGTCCTGCATCCCACCGTCTGGGCCATCACTCCGGGGACCTCAGCTGCCCCTCAGTCCCCCTGCTGTTTTCTGATGCCTCAGTGACTTCTTGTTATACTAATCACACTTTTTTATAACAGCTTCTTGGTCTAATAACCCTGCCTGGAGCCACACCTTTTTCTACACTACAGTATTTTGTTCTGTACTGTTTTTGCAACGCGCCAAGAACCACGCAGGAAATGCTTTCACCTCACAGCATTTGCTGTGCTGAAGCGCAAAATCACTTTAAATCCACCACCTTTTTTTTCTTTCTCCCCCTAACAGCTAAGAATGGTTTCTCTGTAACACACACACTGTATGTAGACTGTAGACCTCGTGGCGTGAAGTAAGGCAGGCCAACATCAAACCAACCTCTACATTCCAGAGAATCCAGAGGTTTTCCGTGTGTGTGTGTGTGTGTGTGTGTGCGTGCGCATGTGTGTGTGTGCCATATTTGAGGTTGGAAAATGTTTAAATCGGTGGTTTGTGTGGCTGAGGTAGGCGGCACCAAATGATCATTAGCCAGTGTTCAAACTGATTTAGCTTTAATTTAAAACTTCACTGAGTCTCATTGTACGTCCACGTATCACAGCCTCCTCACTGGAGCGTCACTGCCTTTAATCATAAATATGTATAAAAACGAGAGCGACCACGGCTGCTGTACAGGGTAACTGTACTGACAGGATTTACACCATCAGGCTTCAGTTTGGACTCACAGTGAGGGCCTCGGTGTGTGAGGCCTGTTCGTATGACGTCAGTTTTCTCCTTGGGTGATTTTTATTGTACAATAATGAGAACGAGTGTTTTCTTTGTCTGTGTGTGTGTGTGTGTGTGTGTGTGTGTGTGTGTGTGAGAATATGCACTTGTTAAATCACGGTGCTACGAAAAACGTCAGTCACAATCAGGGACCAGTGTGTGTCTTTGTGTGTGTGTGTGTGAAATAAGTTTCTGATATACTGGATTGTCAGTGCGTGAATGGATGAACTTTTTCTATGACATTTCATCGTCCAGCGGTTTCACGGTTTTCACAGCCCTCGCCCTGTATTTGTCGATAGAACAACTTAGGTATTGTTTTGTCAGAGTGCATCTGCGCCGAACACGCAGAGCCGACGGTGGTGACGTCGCAGCGAGGACCACATGAGCTCAAAAGTGTTTCCTCAGGTGGGAGTTGTTCATGTGGCTTATTTTTGAAATTCCTTTTTGAATTAGCCGTGTGTTGTGGTTACCACTTGTCTCATGTGTAGCACATTACCCGGGGGAAGGAAACAGTGGGAGGCTGGTCTTCTTCTGTGATGGGGGCATGCTGGGAAAATGAGCTCCAATGCAGAAGGAATGGGGAGAAAAGAAAAGAAAAAATGAACAGAGTAGGAAAAAGTAATTTCCATTGAAATGTAGATTTTTTTTTTCCGTCTTCTGAATGGCTGTTTAATAACTTGAACTGTCTCGCTGATCCAATGACGATTCTGCCAAAATTAAAAAAGACTCAGAATGATGGAGTTAAATGAAAACATTGGTTCTTCTGCAGGATAAAACAAACTGCAGAACTGTTTGTTTGTCTTTGTTTTACACCTGAACTGGCTTCAGATTAGTTCCCCTATAAACCCTGTATTGTTACCAAAATAGGATGTCCCCACGTTGCACTACATCTAAAAGTGGAGGCTGTTGTTCAAAAACAGACAGGGTGCCAGATAGTTATGGTATTTATGATACAGTCTGGACTTAAAACTACGAGGACGGACGCTGTTGGCTCCTCTTTTTTTTATTTTTCTTTTCTTTTTTTTAAACAGTGAACTGTTTAATGTACTGAAAATGTACTACAGTTGAGCTACGCTGCCCCCTCTGGTGGAAATTAAGACAAATCACTTTAAAGAAGAGGAATTCCAAACAGTTCACAGATCTCACCGATGACTGCAGATGCCATTATTTGCTGTAAATGTTCATCACTTTGTTTTCTTGATTATTAAGATGTAAGAATACTGTAGTATCATAAGAGAAACGTTGTTCCTCGCTAGGCTAGAACTTGCTTGTGATTGATAATGGCAATGTTTAACCTGTAAAAAAAAAAAAAAAACAAACAAAAAAAAGGGCAAAATTGCAAAATGATAATGAAAAACTTGAAAAATAAGAAATTGTGTTTAAAAAAAGGTAACAGTCAGAGGCCAAGGTAAAAGTCTCATTTTTGTTTTTATTTTTTTATTAGCAATTTATCACTGTGTGATATTTTGAACATCATATTAAACTGTATTCAACCAATTTCCTCCAGTACAAGGAATAAGACCCGCTTTTATTCATTTGTTTCCTCTATTTTTTCAACTGCATTCTAGCTTCTATTTTTTGTTCACTGTCCCTTGTATGTCAATAAGGAAGAAAATGATTTTTTTTTTGTACAGCAGATGTTGGTCCTGTGTTGTAGCAGCTACGACATTAGCAGCTACGACATTAGCATGATTCCCCTGAAAACAATACACAAACATTAAGGCCTTTCAAATGAAGTTGATAATTCAGCGCGTAATGTTTTAAATACCTAAGTCGTATCACAAATATAGAATCCAAGTAAATGTAGTAATTGTTGAGAAGTTTGCCAAGTGTTCTATTCTCTGACACTATCACCAGAGAGTCCAGTTTGGTGCCGAGTCCAGTTTGGTGCTGACCACAGAGCCTGGCTTCCTGATCAGCTTTCCACAGGTTTGGATAATCATTACTGCAATAACATCTGAAAAATATGTATTTTTTAATAGTTTTATATTATTTGTTTAGATTGAATTGAAAAACTTTGCCATAGAACCTGTGTGCTTTTCGGTCACAGTGTAATTCAGTGTAATTTCAGGTTGAAGACATCCATTTGACGGGACTGTGTTTGTTTGTGAAGTTGTACTACAACATGGCTACCTGCAATTCTTGTCACAAGGAGTTTATGGTCGAACTTTTTTTGAAAAGAAAGAGCTCATTTATCTATCTTTTTTGTCTGAATCTTTTACAATAATTATTAAAATTAATCCGACCCTGCATGCTGTCGGACCTGGGGAGGAAGTCGGAGTATTTGCCGAAATCTGCGCACACGTGGGGAGACTTCCGGAAACCATCATGGATTTAACAGGTGATTTTAAGAGTTAGGATGTCTAACTGGCATTGTTTATGTTGATTGAAAAGCAAGTTTGTGAGGGCTAACGCCAATCATTGTTGCTTCGACCTGGTAGTTTAACATGGACGTTCTGCAAAAGATTCCAGTCACGATGTCCTTTATTTGTGTATTATTTAAACCAAAATTCATACCAATATTTCTGTAAACACCTGCGGGTAACCCATGTTTATTTATTCCCCTTCAGTAGAACAAGACGACGTCATTAACTGGATAGTTATATAACGACAAAACACAACCCTATATCTGAAAACGTTTTAGAGTTTTAAAAAGTCCCGTGACTGCAGCTGTGTCAAACATTGCCCTCCTGTGGTGGAAGTCAAATGCTACACAGTGCACCAAGTACTGTAGAGCTTTGTGGGTTTTTTGTTTCTTAAATATATCAGGCTCTCGTTTGTCATGACAACTTAAGTGTAATTGTGTAATGTAAAAATGTAATTTTTTAAAAAGTAGTACACATCTTCATGCTTCTGTAATTTACGGTTCATCAGAGAGTCGAAGAAGCATGGTTAGTGGTTTTCAAAAATTATTTTTGCAGCACCCCCTTTTATTGAGCCCTCCTCAAATCCACATATTCACTGCTATTGCATCATATCCCCCCAAATGTATTTAAAATCTGTAATTCCTCAAATCTCACTGAGATTGCAGTTTCAGGACTGTAGCAAAAATAAGGAACATTTTGAAACGTGAAGAAAATTTGCCCTGCCTAGCCCTTGTATAGTGGCCGTCCTCCACTTTGGGAACCGCTGCCGTCAGGGGTTAAAAAATATCCCCTATAAAAAAAATATATATATAAAGTAAACAAAAACAAGACAAAGTTAGTTCAAGGAGTTTGAATCATGTTTTCTCGTCTTGCAAGTGCGAAAAGAAAACAACTACTGCAAACATATAGTTTGGGTATTTGTTAAAATACTGTAGTGAAACAAATGCTGTACATGGGTTGGGCTGAGCAGTATAAGAGCAGGTAACACACACATACACGCAAATACTAGTACAAACACGTCCCTGTGTGATAACAAAGTAATAATAGATAGTGTAATACTAATACTATTACTAATACTGAGTGGCCATGTTGTTTGTCTCTAACAAAACACATACATGATGCAGACACGCACACACTAATACACAGATGGTTGTTTAAACAGGACTGCTCTGTAAAACAGGATGCAAAACGAGGCAAGAATGCCAGTTCCACAGAGAGCTTACAGAGAATGCAGTAGTCCATGGAGCTTTGAGGAACTGCTCCTCAGGCAGTGAAAGAAGATCTTTAACTGGGTCCATAGTGGGAGGGGAGCAAACAAGACTAACAAGCTCAAACCAAGGAAGAGAGTGAGACAAGGGAAAGGGAGGAGGGGAAGTTTGGGAGCAGGGAGTCCGAGGGCGGGACTTTGTGTGAGTCTGTTGGTGTTAGCCAGTGTCAGTCATTCCACTTCCTTCTTGGCGGGGGTAAGATCATAGATGAGAGGGCAGGAGGGGAGGGAAGAGGGAGGTACCCTCACACAGATCTCTTTCTCTCTGCCTTTTCTTTTTTTTTTTAACAGTGAAAACACTGAACCGGGGCTGAAACTGAAAGAGCGTACGACTGGTAGAAAGGAGAGCAGTCTGTTGCTCTCCTCCTTTCGCACAGTTTCCTGTTTAAGGAGGCCATCTTGTAAGTTAGCTGAGTAAAGAGCACAACAAAGTTTTATTTATTTATTTATTTATTTTTACAACTGGGAGTTTCATAACATCAACTTTGGACTTTCTCCCCTGCAGGACTGCTTCTTTGGACAGAGGTGGAGGGAAACAGAAGAAGGTGTGGGAAGTAGAAGCAGCAGGAGGGAGTTTTCCCCTCAGCGTGTACGTCTCTCATGGGTCTCTCACACACTCCGCTCATGCTTGTCATGCCTGGACAATGAAAGAAGTTTGACAGTGAAAAAGAGACTCGAACAGAAGAGGGGAAACCTGCGCTTCCTGGATAAGGACTTCTTTCTTGATCCACTTGGACAGGAGGACACAGGACACACGGGAACCAGGACTGGACTCAGGGTATCTGGGACAGCTTGAATGAGTTTGTGCTTCCTGGCAACTCTACACTGCACCTGGGTGTGTGTTTGTTAGTCTGTATGTTGAGAGCCTTTGGCAACCACAACACGGGACTCTGAATGGCTAACGCAAGCCCATGTATGTCCACGGGGGCCATGACCCAGGTCTTTTTTCCTCCTGGGGGCTCCTCACCGCCAGGATCATCTATGATGCAGCCCAACCCTGTATCCATGCCCCCAGTGCCCACGCAGGGTGGATTTCCTGTGATGGAGGTGGCAGCGGCTCAGGCTCCCGGTGCGGTAGTGATACCTTCACTGCCCCCTGCTCCAGCCGGAGTGTCCTTCATCATCCAGATTGGGCTGACCAGAGAGTCCGTGCTGATGCCCCAGTGTGCCGACCTGGCCTACGTCAAACAGATCGCCTGCTCCATTGTTGACACCAAGGTAGGACATGTGTGATTGTGGTTACCCGTGTGTGTGTTTGTGCAAACTGCAGAGAGTGGTACAGCAGGTAAGACAGGCGATTGATAACACAGGGTGGGGAGCGGTTATTGACCCAGCACCTCCAGCCACGTTCGAGCTTCTGATCCAGTTTGTTATACTATCCATTAATGCTTCCACGACACTGTGTTGATGTCAGAGGTGGACAGAGGGTTAGGGCTAACAACAGACGGACACTGTCCAACAGGAGCCATGATAGAATAATACGATTGTTCTGGTGTTGCTGTAGCAATATGAAGTTTTACTTGGCCCACAGTTAGAGGGAAGGACGCACCGTGGAGTGGTGGTTGCAATGGATGCCTCACAGCTAGAAGGTTGTAAAATCACAATTTTGGAAAAGATAAAATTAAATGCGCTGAATCATGTCTCTCTAAATGGAGAAAAGTTATGATACATGAAGAAGCGAGCTGCATTTTTGACGTGGGACATTTTTGGATAGATAAACAAAACACAGAAAAATTAAAAACACCCAAGAAATGAAGGGTATGCTTTGGGAAGAAAACAAATTTCTTACTATGGAATAAACCCCTGGTGGATGTGTTCTGTTACTGTGTTCTGACCAGGTCAAACTCCAGTGAAGTTTAGGACAGAGCTTGTCTTTGAGTGGGATGATGTGGATTTTTTTAAATTTTTATCCAGGACTGTGTTGAGGTCTGATTGACTTGTAGTTTGACGAACATCAGTCGTAGCGCTGACATGACAGCTGACTCTTCTTCCTCACAACCACAGCTTATAAACTTGTCCATACACCCTTTGGAAAATGAAAGATATCAAGACAGAGGACAAGTTTTCAATTGGCAGGACAACAGTAGTAATTAAGCAGCATAGCTCTGATTGGCTGACAATAATTTCAATTCTTTTAGGGATACACATTATCGTAACTTTAAAGTTCTTTAAACCTTCATTTAAAACTGAGGACCGGTTGATTTCTTGTTAAGTATCATTGAATTTTCTAAATTTCTGTCAGTACTGCAGTCTCACTGACATTATTTTGAAATATTGCCAGATTATCTTTAAATGAAGAAAGTAAATAGATGTAAATCAATATCTCCTTACCAAATATTATTATCTACAGACCGGTACCGGTCCACGGAATGAAGTAAACTGGTAAAAAGTAAAGTACATTTTGTCACTGTGACCCACTGTGAGCCAGTACCAAATTATCTACAGACCGGTACCGGTCCACGGACCAAGGGTTTGGAATCCCTGATTTAAAACATGCAAATGTCATGGCCCAGTGACACAAGGTGTTCACACTTACCAGACATATTGTTGCTGCCGTCTGTTTTCATCAACAGAAGTTGATGCTGGTCGTCAACAATCTGACAGGCTCCACATAGACCAGGAACATCCAATTATATGTGATTACAGTTAAATACAATCAACAGACAGACAATGGAGTCCACTGGTTCAGCCTCATATTTAGACACAGAATGTAACGCTGAATGACACTGATATGTAACAATCTTTATTTTTTTTTAGTTGAATATTTACAATATGATATGTCATAGAAGTTTGTTTCACAACGAGGATATATGCACGCCTCAGCGGAAGCTGCAGTACGTAGAAAGACCAGTAGAAATTTAAAAAAATAAATAAATAAGACTTTATACATAAAAAAAAGAATGTACAAAATTTTATGAAACGTAAATGAGTTGACCCAATGCCATGACATATTAACAGCGACCTTAACCTTTACCTTAACCCCGCAGTAATAACTGCACAGAGTGCAAAGGGAAAGGATATACAGCAGTACCGTAGAGATTTTTTGCAATATCGCATTACAGAAAAAAAGTAAAAAGAAATGGGGCTAATTATTTATACGTGACTGTAAAGTAAAATGTTCTGCAAAGCTAATGTATATAACAGAGTTTTTAAAGACTTTTTTGTACTTTTTCTACTATTTTTTTTGTAAAAAAATAGAGTACAGTTATTTCTTATTAGACACATGTCACATTAAAAGTACTGCAAAGTCCTTTCTTAATGTGTAAAAAAAGTAATTTAGTTAAAAAGTACAGCTATTTCTTAAAACAAATAAATATATTTATTACGTATTACTCTGGTCATTATTACACGTATACTTAATAAAAAGTACAGCAGAGCTTTTTCTATTGAACTCATCTGAAGTTTTTTTTAATTTTATCCCTGTAGTTTTGTCCCTGACTTAATAATGAGCAGCATTAACGGTGTTCGAATGAACTCCCGCTCAGTGACACATGTTGCAGACGACAGTCACGAGAGCCTGGTGGCGTTGAAGAAAATGACGTGAAATAACTGTATGTTCGTATCGGTCACATGAGGAAAAGTTTGCATTTACTGCTGAGAAGATAAACGTTAATGCGTAGCCTGTGTTAACAGGAACCTTAGCTTTGTTTGCTTTTCAACAGTTCTGTCAAGTTTCTCTCCGTGGCTCACTGAGTTTGAAAACAAAACCAATTTACCTCATGGTCACAGACGTACTTTTGATGACATTGTTTAAACAGAGCCTCCAATTAAAACAAACACGGCTCTGACTGCATCGTGCAAAGATGACCATTCGTTTGTGCAGAGAACCTGCTGAGAGTTCAGGTTGAAGCTCATCTGATATTGACCCAAAGGTCACTTACAAAATTAAGGCTTTCATTTATTTTATGCTGAAATCTCTGAAACATTAATTCTAGTGCATCATTAAAAACAGTTTTTTAAAAGTTTTTAACTAACTAAATTAATTAATTAATTAACTAAATTCATCAGCTTTTCTTGAAGTGATGATTTAAATAATATTGATAAGCATTTCCCCCAATCAAATTCAATATTGGTTTAAGTTCTAACTATAGTAAATATAATATAATATAATAAATATTAAAAAATATAATAAAATAAGGAAAATATAGCAACACAGTGAACACAGTTAAGAAGTAAAATATTTAAAAAAAAATGCTGTATGACAGTAGAAAATATAACAAAACTTTAGTTTTAGTTAGTTATGACAAATGAGGGCACTACAGGTCACGGAGAGAAACACATGCATTGTCTATATAAAGTAAAAACAAATCTGCCAGAGAGGAGAAGTGGCAACATCCTCTTTGCAACAGGAAGCAACGAGTGTTATGGGAAATGATGTTTTCACTTGCCTTTCTGTGGGCCTGGCTGTAACGAGGAGGTGAATCAGGCCAGTGTTTAAGGGCGATGACTTAATCACACGTTCAGGTGGTAGTTTGAAGCAGGCCATGTGTTTTAATGGAGGCCTGGCAGGTGATTAGATTAGCAGGTTTCCACAGCTGGCACAGAGCAGCTCTGTGAAAAACTCCCGCTGCAGGAACTTTTTCCAGGAAACACTGGAAAACTCTCTCCAGCCTGGAAGCTAATTGGTGTTTTTTTCGGTGTGTTGTTTATTCATCGGCTCGGTGTAATTGAATGAAATAAACACAGTCTGTGGGATCTTGCGTTAACTCCCGCAGCGTGTTTGACACACAGCATGGCTTTGAGCTGCAAATGTGGTTGGAAGAAGTCGGACGTTTAGTGTGGCATCAAAATTTGCCCAGCGACTGCGTACATCAACTTCTGACTGAGCTGTTCCTCTTTTTATCGTCTGGTTGTAGCCTGTATGTGTGAGTGTATTGACAGAAAAGTTATTTATAGGACGTTTGTCTCTTTATCTCAATTCCACTTCAGTTCTTACTCATTAACTATAAAAAAACACCATAAAATGTTGATTGACGTACAGTGGAAAGAAACTCCAGATATCGTGTCCAACTTGTGTTCCTTCAGCAGCACTTGACCTTTATTTTGTTTTCCAAAGAAGTATTGGCAAAGTCACCTGTGTAATCTAGATGTCATGATAAAATCCCAGGACGACAATATCTGATATTTAATTTTGAGGCTGTGAAAAAAGCATTTTAAGTGCATAAACCTAAGAGCCATACTGGATTGTTGAGTCAGTAAGCAAGCCATTAGATTCTCAAAGTGTGGGGTGTGCCCCCTTTGAGAGGCAAGGGCTTTTGTCCAAGGGGTCCAACAAGGCAACGATTTCAAGTAGTCTCTTTTTTTCACACTGCAGAAATGGGCGAAATGTTGTCTTTTTTCCCTTCTATTCGAAGGAAATTTGCTGTTTCTTAAAATAAGTTTAGTGATGTTACGAAGTACAGAAGGAGAAGTAGAAGTAAAAGAAGAAAAAGAAACCCCCTCTTTTACGATTTTCTAGAATATGTTTTCCAATTTGTTGAGAAGTGGTTAAATCCCATTGTCTGAAATGGTGATAGTTACAAGGAAAGGTTAAAAAAAGAAACCAAAAGTTGATGGAAGTCAACAGTTCAGTGCTGAGGCCACACTTTAGGTCAGTGATAAACAACCTGCTGCTTCAATCAAACTGATTACTGTGGCCACTGTCACAGTAGAAAAATACACACTGGTCACTGCGTTGTGGCTTCCTCTTCAGGACCCCAAGTTTAGAAAGTGGTCTGGCTTTGTTGTTGATGTTGTGATTGTGTTTACTACAGTGTGTTTTTTGAAGTCATTGTGTGGCTTTCTATAGTATCATGGAACCATTCTACGTTATTTTCCTCACAGCTTTGAGGGTGTGGATCCAGAGTTCCAAACGTTTGTGATCAATACTTTTTCTTATTTTGTTAAATAATGAACCCATTAAGAGGAACATAAAAGGTAAAGCAAAATGGAAGATGCTGCAGTCGAGTGAACAATGTGTGTGATGGACAGCTGGACCATCCAATGGAAAATATTCAGGTCTGAATTACATAGAGCGCCCACTGTTGGTGCAACATAACAATTTTGTTGTTTTTTGAACTCCTGCTCCATGCACGCTTCATGTTTGTTTCAGTTTGGCAGTTAGCCATAAGGGGGCGGTGGGATCCGAGATCAGACATCATTTGTGTACCGACGTTACTCTTCTCAGACAATGACAAACATGTCGATGGCTTAGGATGTTGTGATAATGTTCCTGCTCA